ATTCTATTGTTAACTTTTTTTTTTTGCAATTGGGGTTAAGTGACTTGCCCAGGGTCACACAACTAGTAAGTGTCAAGTGTTTGGTCTGAGGCGGGATTTGACTATTGTTTACTTTTAGAGTTTCATTTTGGTGCTTTTCAGCGAATCCTAGGATAGCATGGCCTCATAGAAGTGTCACAGCATAATGAAAAGAGTTTCAGTCTCATTTCTTTCACTTGACCACTTTCATTATGAACATGGGCAAATGCCTCCATTTCTGACCCTGAAGACTACTTTACTGAGTTGTTGTGATAATGAAATAAGATAATTTATGGGAAGTGCTTTGTAAGCCTTAACATGTTACGTAAATGTCAGTTATTATTTGTCATTTGCTCCTGAAAATAGAACACTTGAAGAAAACAACAGTGTTTTTTAAAGAGCATTAAGCTTGTTTTTATTTCAACTTATACAGAAGGCTAATCCAAGGTTCATTGCCACCTAGTGTAGTCATAATGATTCCAGCTAAACTTGGAAGAAGGTCTCTAGTGGAGTGCCCTAGGTATCTGTCATTGGTCCTGTGCTGTTTAACATTTTTATCAGTGCCTTGGATAATGGCACAGGTGGCATCTTATCAAATTTATAAGTGACATAAATCTGAGAGAGAAGGTAGCTAATATGTTGGATGGTATAGGATCCAAAAATCTTTGTAGGAATCATTATGCTATATTTGAAGTCAGAGGACCTGTGTTTAGATCCCCAGTTCTGCTGTATACCACCTGTGTTACCTTAGGCAAAACATTTTCAGTTCTCTGGACCACAGGTTTCTCATCTGTTAAAAAAGAGGATTGGATTTCTAAGGTTTCTGCCAGCTTTAAATCTATGTTCCTACAATTCTGACAGGAAAGCTCATTGGGGTGAATCTAAAAAGATGAGTGTAACAGGCTAGAAATGATCTTACACTCGAGTTTAAGACATCAACTTTACAAATACAAGGTGAGGGAGGCATACCTAGATAGCAGTTCATCTGGAAAAAAAAAAGATGATCTTGGGGTTTTAGTGGGCCATAAAATTCCTATAAGTCAACACTGTGATATGGCAATTCCAAAACACTGAATGTGATCATGGAATATGAAGCATAATATTCAGCACTAGAGAAGTAATAGACCACATTTGGGGTATCAGATTCAGTTTGGGTCCTACATTTTAGGAAAGACATCAATTAATGGGAGAAAAAACACAGAGTAAACAAAAAATTGTTAGAAGCACATGGAGTCAATATCACATAAGGATTGGTTTAGTCAGTCACCAAGTATTTATTAATTGCTTTCTATGTGCCAGGAAGGCACTGTCCTCAAAAAACCGGTTCCTGCTCTCAAAGAGCCTTAATGTGGTAGATAACATTCAAATAACACCACCCACACAAGATATATTCAGTCTAATCAAATGATAATTGCATGGGGAAGAAATTCGTAGGGAGAAGTGAAGAGGAGCCAGATTCTTTGCAGAGGGTAAGAGCGAGTTGAATCTAAAGGGAGTCAAGGAAGTTAGGAGGTAGAAGTGAGGAAGGAAAGAATCCCAGCCCTGGAGGAGAGCCGTACAAAAACACAAAGTCAGGAGGTGGATCGTCCTGACCATTGTAGCTACATGGTAGAGTATATTGAGGGATGGTAGGCAGGGACCGGGTTGTGAAGGGCTTTAAATATCCAAAAGGATTTTCTATTTGATCATGGGGATAATTGAGAGCCACTGTTGAGCAGGGGATGACTTATATAGTAACACCTGTATCTTCGAAAATCACTTTGGCAGCTTAGACAAGTTGGGGTGGGGAGAAGACTTGAGATATAGAGACCAATTACAAGGTTATTACAATACTCCAGGCAGAGGCGATGAAGGCCTGTACTAGGGTGGTGGGTTGAGAGATAATGGGATGCTTAACCTGGAGTAGACCAAATATCTTCAGGCATTTGAAGGGCTACTGTTGGAGGAAAAACTAGCATCCTTCTGATAGGCCACAGAAGGCAGTAAGGAATAATGGGTTGAAGTTGCAAAGAGGACAAATTTAGAATGGCTCTTGGAGGGGGGGGGAACTTCCTAAAACAAAGAGGCATCCAAAAGTGGAATAGGCTGCTTCAGGATGTATTGGGTTTGCCTTCAGTAGAGGCTGTCAGACAAAGGTTTGATGACCACTTGTTAGTCATGTTGTAGAAAGAAATCTCACTTAGGTTTATGTTGAACTAGATGGCCTCAGAGATCTCTTTCAATTTTGAGCTAAACATTGCCAAGGAGATCGTAACGTGCTTGTGGGCAGGGACTACCTTTGACCTTTCTGCTTTTTTCCTAACTTATTAGTTTGACAGGTATAAAAGCCACTAGACTGGGTTCGAGATCTGCTATATATTAGCTATATGACCTTAGGTCATTTAACTTCTCTGTATGTCAGTTTCCTCCTTTGTAACAAATGCGCTAATGATATCTTCCCTACTTCTTATGCTGGGTGCATAATAGGCATTCAATAAATGCTTACTGACCTGCATGGGGTTATTGTGAGAAGCAAATGACGATGTACATAAAGTGATTTGTAACTTTAAAAGCCGAAATAAATGGAAGTTATTTTTTTATTGTCTACCATGTTGGCCAGTATTGTGGGTAATAATAATAATAAAAAAGAAATAACAACAAATAAATTAGGGCCCTAAACTGCAAAGTTTAACTGCAATTGACGTCTCCACTCTGCCAGAACTTACATAGGTGAAAACCCAATCAGGATCCAAAAGCAAAAGCAGTGTTATATAGTAGAAAAAGCCCTAGGTTTGGTAGGAAGGGATCCAGTTTCAAATCTTCAATCTAGTACTTGCTATCTTGGGCAAATCTCTTTACATCTGGATTTAAGTTTCCTCTTTACTAATGAAAGAATTGTATTAGATAGAGAAACTCTAACTCCTATGACAACAGCTTTTTTTTTTTTTTGGTCACTGGACAGACTAGAACTTTATAAAGAAGTTGTGGCTCCTACCAATGTTTCTGAGCCAAAACGTGTGGGCTCAGAAACTTGGTAGAGGTGTGTAAAGATAGAATACCGTATGTTTTTCCTTTTACAAAGTTTTCTGAGAGGCTTGGAGAAAATGAATATTTACTCCCGAGACAGAGGCAGAAGGTGGAAAGGAAATTTCGAAGGTAAAGAGTATGGAAAGGAGGAAGCCAGAGAAAAGAACAAGAGGAAGAGAGAGGGCAGAAATGATAGTTGGTGAAAAGAAAGAGGAATGGAAAATACTGTTAGAAAGTAAATTATCTGATGACTTGGTTTCTTTAGTTCCTGGTACCTTGACCTGGGAACGAGGACTTGGGTTAGAAATGCTTAAAGCATTGGCCATTGCAGAAACCTGGTTATCAATGTAGTGAGACTAGCAGGTTGAAGTCCTGGGAGGGTGGTACCAGCTGATCCCCCCATGGTTATCTTCTGCCCTGAATCTAGGCACTGGCATTCCATCCTATTTCCTTGTCTCCCCAACTCTGGTCCTTTGACCTCTTCCAGGGTCACCTGACATTCCTTTTTCAATTCCTCTCCTCTCCTCTCTCCCTCCTCTCCTTCACTGTCCCTAATTGCTGGATATTTCCCTTGGGATGCGCTCCCCCGCCCCCATCCAGATCCAATTCAGTCTTCTTCCCCCACAAGCTCCTCTTTGTTGCCTTTCATTTCACCTGGGTGGTCAGGGTTTGGGGCGGGGTGCAAACAGTGAAGATGGAAAGTCACTGCTGGGTTATTGTCCCGGGACCAGACCGATCCTAGGTCGAGCGGGTCCCACGAGTCTCTAGCCCTAGAACCTCCCAGAACCCAGCTCCTGTTTCTCCCACCTCCGCCCCTCAAAGTAAGGGAACCAGAGACACCCAGATTTGAGGCTGGGGGGAGAGACCGCTCGCCGCAGGGCGGGGGCATGTGTAGCCAGACAAATGAACCTGCACACCTCCTAGTAACGAACGCTAAAGCTATTCCTGGAAGCTCAGGAGCGAGGACAGCAGGAATAAAGTATTCCTAGAAATTGACTCATTCCCGCCGTCCCTCTTCTCCCCGCGTCCACCTTCAGCACCCGGAGCAGGAGTAGGGACAAAGGGAGACCGAAGTCTCCCCCAGGTTGACTGGCGGAGGGTGGAGAGGGACGCCCAGTGCCGGAGAGCCCCTCTGGAGAGCCGCTTCTCAGCCCGGAGTAGTGGGTGGGAGGGCGGCGCGGCGCCGGGCGCATGGGGAAGAGCAGGAGCGCAGCTGCCCCTCCCGGGACGGCCCCGCGCCGGGGCCCCTGGTACTCGGCTCGGCCCACCCCTCTCCTCTCAGCCAGGCTGGGCACCAGCCCCGAGGCTGCCCTTCCTCCCCACTGAGATGCAGGCGCGCTGCCTTCCCACTTTGTAAAGGCGAGAAACCCGTGGAGCCCAAGACAAAGAAACTCTCCTGCCTTCCTCTCCAGTACCCCCTCCGCCCCCAGACACTCCCCTCCTCCCGCAGCCCTCCCGTCTGGCCGTCTCGCCCTCCCCGCTCTCTCACCAGCCCCCTTCCTTAGGACCTCGATTGATAAAGCGGTAGGGATGATTGGGAAATCCGTTAAAAAAAAAAACCACTCCCGTGCCTCGATCCCCCCCCACACACACTCCGTCGCCCGCTGGCACACTAGCCAATACCTAGTTAACGACGCCCCAATTCAGTGGCGTCCCCTTACCCTTTCCAACTCTCACTGCCCCCCAAACCGTCCCGATCCTCTTGCCCCGCGACTCATTCCCCTCCAGCCACAACTCCCGGGCCACCCACCTTCTCCTAGCCATAGCCCCGACCTGGTCCCGGCCCCCGCCATCCCGCCCCCCAGTCGCTCTCCCCAGCTTCGGGGAGGAGCAGCCACAGCAAGGGGGAAGGACAAGGCGCATACAAAGCCGGGGGAAGGAGCGAAGGGGGAGTGGAGTGGGAAGCGGGAGCGAGGAGGAGGTTAGAGGGTTGGGGGTCCCGGGAGTGGGGGAAGGGGAGGGCAGGGTTTATTTACCCGATTTCTTCTTCGACCTCCGAAATATCTGCGAAGATGAGAAAGACGACAAGCAGGGTGAGCAGAGCCAACATCCAGCTCTTGAACTGCAGCTGCATGGCTCGGGCGCCTGCCTCCGACCGGGACCGGCCAGCGGGCAACGGAGCCGGCGAGGAGCAGAGCGAGAAAAAGCGCCTCACCCACCTGCCTGCCTCCTCCCAGCCCCGGGGAGCCCCGCTTGGGCACAAGCGGCCGCCGCCGCGGCGGCAGCAGCAGGCGGGGAGTTGCACAGGCTCTGCGATTGTCCCCCTAGTGCAGTCCAGCCCCGCCGTCCCTCCCAGCCGCGGGCTCCTCTCCGCGCTCAGTTTGACAGCTTTGCTCCAGTCGGTGCCCGTTCTCTTCTGTCTCCCCCTCCCCTCTCCCCTCCCCTCCCCTCGGTAGTATCGCCTCTTAGGAATTTGCCAGGCACATCCCTGTCGCTCCTCTCCCGTGGACGTCGCGCTCTTCTCCCGCCCTCCCTGACCCAGACAGGGAGGGAGGCCACGGGCATACCCCGACCCCGAGAAGCGCCGTCGCTTCCACCTCTTTGTCCAGCTCCCTCTCTCTCTCTCTCTCTCTCTCTCTCTCTCTGAAAGTTTTCCTGACACAAAGACCCACACCTGGGGACCGCCGCCAGCCTGGGAGAAGGCGGATCCACGCTGACAAAGGTTCAAGCCTAATTTGCCTAATTTGGTGGGAAGGTGGAAGAGAAAATATTTGCAACTGTCCGCCTGCATCCGAGATACTGACACCTGCCGGTGGGGCAGGTGTCTGTCAGCCGCTTCAAGGATGTAGTAATATTCCAGGAATGTGGGATTTTAGAGTGGGAAGTTCCTTCTTGACTGGTGAGGAAACTGAGGATCTGAGAGGTTCGCCCAAGGTCACAGAACAAGTCATTGGCAGAACTAAGACTGGAACCCACATCTCTCGACTACTTGGCCAATATTCTTTTACTACCATAATTCATTAAAGGGTGTGTGTGTGTGTGTGTGTGTGTGTGTGTGTGTGTGTGTGTGATGTTGAGGACAGAACACTTAATTCTGGTATCACATCCCCACTTATTGCAAAATCAACATCCACCCCTAGTCTCATCTTGATGGAAAGGCATGGTAGAAAACAAGGGTGCCCATAAGGGGTAAATGCCCCCCATGCCGTATATTTTACGCTTCCCCAGTCTTATACAGATTAGCTGAAATTAAATTTTGCACCCACCATTTGCCTAGGGCTGGAAGGGCTCCATTAAGTTTTAGTGGAATTAGAAAATTGCTTAAAAATTTTCTGAGCTAATTGCACAATTCATCAGAACCAGAAAAAGTACCTTTACAGCAATTATAACCCAATTTATGTGAAGATTATTGAAGTTTGATCATGGGGAGAAAGGAACTATATGGATAGTAATTTTAAAATCATAATCTTATTTTGGAAATAGTAACCAGATCTTAGGATCATAGATTTAAAGCTTAATGGGACCTTTGAGGTCAACCAGTCCTGAACAGGAAAATTCAAGGATAGTGGGACTGCTCTGATTTCTGGATTACCTACGTAGTATTCTTGTGATCCATATATTATTGGAACATCTGCTGGAAAGAGGTAAGTTTTTAGGGAGAGTACCTTTAAGTCGTTAGAATAGAGAACACCAGGTACTTTGTTTTCCCACTAAATCATATTACCAAACATTTAAATTTTCTAGATGCTAATCTACCTTATATAATGAAAGAAATAGTTTCCAGGGCTAGTGGAGTAGTTATGAGAAAGGATGTTGGTTAGGTATGGGAGGAAGTTTAGGAAACTCAATTAAGAAGAAACTGCTTTCTTTTGTTATAAGGAATTCTCATAATCATGAGTCCTATCTTGGGGAAACTATGTCAATAATGCTGCATGCGTGGAAGTTAGTGGCTGAGTTAGGGGAGTAGCTGTGTATTACTGTTGAGGGGAATTTTTGAGTGCGGTGGTTTTTTCTTTTCTTTTTCCTTTTTTTTTTTTTAAACAATTTGTTGCCAAGACACTACCATTGAAATCCCATTATAAGGAACTCCAGGAGGAACCCCATATTTTTTGTTACAGTAGAAGTTGCTTATGACAACTCATTGATGAAAATTTATTCCCAGTTTGCTGGAACTAGAAATAAAAGAGAACCTTCCAGTAATGAATTAGCAAGTGAAGAGGTGTTCTGAACTAAATAAGAAAATGAGAGATCAGGCACACTCTCACTGCCACCCCATTTCTCCTTCCTGAAAAATGTTGTTTCTTTTTGTATGTTGAGTACATTTGGATGATTGCTTTGGGAATTCGGGTGTTAGAAGAGAGGTGATCACCTCTTAAAGACTGTTAAAACTCAGCTATCTTTCCTCAACACACTGCTTCTAGCTTCCCTTCCAACGCTTTCTTTATATTCTTCCTCCCAGATTCTGTGTTTCAACCAACCCGTTCCACTAGCTGTTTCAAAATTTGACTTAGTGTCTCTCTCTGTATACAGCTTAGCACAGTGTGTGGCACATAATAAGCCCTTTAGAAATGCTTTATTCAAGTCCCAGTTAAAATTCTACCTTCTGTAGGAAGCCTTTCCCAGTCCCTTTTAATTCTAGATACTTCTTTCCATTGACTATTTCTTATTTATCCTGTATATAGCTTGTTGTTTTTTTCCTTTTTTAAATTAATTTATTTTGAATTATCAACAATCACTTCCATAAGCTTTTGAGTTTTAATTTTTTCTCCCCCTCCCTTCCCACCTCCCTCCCCAAGACAGTGCGCAATCTGATATAGGCTATACATATACATTCCTAGCAAACACATTTTCACATTATATATAGCTTGTTTGTACACAGTTGTTTGCATGTTTTCTCTCTCATTGGATTATGAGCACTTGGAAGGCAGAGACTGTCCTTTGCCTGTCTTTGAATCTCCAGAGCTCAGCACAAGTGCATGGCACGTAGTAGGCACTTAATAAATGTTTATTCCCATCTTTCAGATTTCTTATCTTTCTTGAAGGTATTACCTCCATGGAAATTTCCTCAAATTTCCCTAGAACATTTTCGGCGACCTCTCCTCTGCCCTCATCAAATGAAAATGATGTTTGTAAAAGTGTTTAGCAGAATAAATGCTTCTTCCTTTTCCCTCCCTTCTCCTTCCTTTTCCTCCATCACATCTTGCTCTGCTTGTGTTTATACATGTTGATCACTTCTCCATAGTAGCATGTAATCTCTTTGAGGGCAGGGATTGTCTGTTTCATTTTTGTTCCTATATCTATCTTCTAGTGTGCTATCTCATGCTTAATAAATCCTTGTAGATTGATTATAGAAAATAATTTTTACACGGACACCTACTTGAGAACTTGTTTTGGTGCAGGATTGTTATTTGTAAATATGGTGTGACAGGAATCTTCAAAAACATGCTAGATGTTGTAGGACAGTAGTTTCCTGATGCAGCTCCCCTAACCCTGACTCAGCTTTCTCCCTCCACACAACCCCTACCCACGCAACTTTCTTTAGCCCCAGCTTCCCTGAAGAGCTTGCTGGCCTTATGAAACCTTATTGCCCCCCAATTTTTTGACACAGCTTCCTGGCCTAGGGCCAACAAAAACCCAAGCTCTGTGGGTTCCAGGCCTCTCCAAATTGGCAGGTTCCTGAATCTACTCAAGTCCAAGTTGCTGCAATATCCTGATAACTGGCCAACCAGAAACTACTCTCATAACTGACTGGACAAATCTCTAGATGGAGATGAAGGGGGCTGCTGGATCCTTGTTGCATATCCTTGCTGTGTGGGCAAAGTAAATCTCCTCCTTTGTTAAACTTTCATTGCCTGGCGAGTGCTTTGTTATATCCCAACACTGAACTTGAATGCAGAGACTGGTGGCTCCAGGGCCGTACCTGTAACATTAGGATTGCCTCCTTTCACTTGTGTATTGTAAAGGTGATTGCACAGGGAACAGCTGGCTCTCCACCTCTCCCTCCCATATTTCCTCATGCTGAAAGAAATCCTGGGGTGAGGGTGGGATTTGCACAGTGTTGCATCAACCCCTGAGGCTGAGGATGAGAAATGGAAAATGGGGGCATGAGTTAATGCCTGTCCAAGATCCAAAAAGCCTCAGTGAGGGATATTGGTTCAGTGGGTGATGTGCTACCTGGCTGCAGGGAAAAGGAAGAAATGCGTGGGACCAAATTCTCCCTAACTTGCCTAAAGACCTTTGGTTGAGCAGAGTGAAAGACCAAACATTTTGACTAGCCTCCAGGCATTCTGAGTCTGGATATTCCTCTGAAAGAGCTGGTACCATCTCCTGAGAAAGAGGATCATAGAGTCATAGATTTAAAGATAGAGCCTTTGAAGTTATCCAGTCCAGATTTCTAATTTCACATGTAACTTCAGGGGCATTCCCTCTCACATATTTTCCTTCCCAAAAGGGTACCCCAGGATTCAAGACAATCAAAACTCAAATAGTTCAAGAGGTCTCCTTGGAAGATTTACTCTTTCCAGCTAGCCAGAGGAGATATTAATCCACACAAAAGACATTTAATAAAACAGCATAGCAAATAAAATACCAAGAAAATGTTCTCCACGTTTTCCCACAGTGTGCACTCATATTACTAATAATGAAGGCATACACACACAGATGTATGATAGAGGAACCTGCATAAAATGCACATATATGGTCAGGAAAGATGCATGGCCTCTGAGACAGAATATGTGGCCAGTGATACACATGTAAGGGCTATATACATAAGAGTCATGAATGGACTGGGCAGCTCACACCTCTGACAATTCATGGTTGCTAATATCCATTGGTGATGTTCTCATTTTGATACTGCTCTCAGAAGGGAGCATTGTCTCTGCTGAGGACTGCTCTGCTGGTCTTGTGCTGCTACCCGCTTCTGGGCATCATCTTTTCAAGATAAGAAGGAAGAAAGGAAGCACACAAGCATTTATTAAGCACCTACTATCTGCCAGGCATTGTGGTAAGTGCTTTACAATCATTTGATCATCCCAGCAACCTTGGGAAGTAGGTGTTCTTATTATCCCTATTTTTCACTTGAGGAAACTCAGACAGAGGTTAAGTGACTTGCCCATACAGCTAATAAATGTCTGAAGCTGGATTTGAACTCGAGTTCAAATTTTCAGATATGAGCTGCCCTGTCCACTCATGCCTCCTATAAATATGACCCTTATGTACATATCCTGGCCACATGTATGTTCTGTCCCAGAGATTATACATCTTTCCTGGCCATATACGTGTTTTCTATGCGTGCTCGTTGGTCACTGACTCAAGGCCTAGTGCTCTCTCCATTGACTATGTCACCTAGCTGTAGGGTTACTTGTTAGCCATGTCAACTCCTGTCTGTTAGGATACAGTGACCAACAAGCCTCTCCCTGATAAGGGCAGGTTGATGGTTATAACAAAGGTTATATAGTTATATACTATATAACACCTAAAGGGTAGTTGAAAAAAAGATAGGTGGAATAGCCCCGCACTGAGATGATGTCTTTTAACTGCCTGTATCTTGTGCTGAATTGAAGTCAACTGTGCCAGACAATTGGAGCAAAAATTTGTTGTAACTTCTGCTCAGTTTCTTAAAGGGTTCCTGTGT